GCCCAAAGACGGTGCAAATTGGCCGAAATAAGAGGAACATGAGAGTGAGTGGGTGAGTGAGAAAGTGAATGTGTGGTGTGGTGGCAGTTTGAGGAGCAGTTGAGCGGCTGTTTAGCAGCGGCTAATTCGCCCCTTTTTGCCAATGCCCCTTCGCTGCAATCTTTTGGGCTGCAAATTGAATCGTTTCTGTTGCTGGTGACGGCGCCAGCAAAACTAGCAAAGGCAGCAGCAGCAGCACGCTCGGTGAGCGGTGTCATAAATAAGGCCAATGTCATCGTGAATTTGTCAGCACCCAGAACACTCACACACTCTCACATTCACACAGCGGCTCACAGTCAGCCATCCATGCTCACGCTAATTTATTGCGCTGATCATAACTGGATGACTTTTGGTGGCGTTGCTGTGTTGGTGTTGCTGTTGGTGGTGGTCGTCTGCGTGTTGTCTATGACTATGCTAGTGTGCATGGGATCAGTGGACGCGTTGCCGCTAATGGCCGTCACGGCGTCTCAATTTGCCGCTGCTCGAGGACGTACACAGCAGTTCTGAGGGGAGTGCATGGGAGCAGCTGAACTGCAGGGGCTAGCAGCACTAGCAGCTCCTATCCACTGGGACTTGGAACTGGGTCTTCTCTCCCTCTCTCAGTGCTGCTGCTGCTCCGCCAGAGCATCGATGGTCATAAATATAAATTCAAATTAATGCATTGCAGGGCAGCGGAGACGTTGGCAGACTGAGTGTGTGCATATGCTCGCCTGTGTCTTCACTCCTTGCTTGGCTGGCTGACTGGCTGACTGGCTGGTTGACTATGTATGTTATAATTCAAATGTCATTGAAGTCAAAAGCCATTATTAGTACACGAGCAGAGAGCGGCAGAGGCAGTATGTATATGCGGCCGATTGGGCGAAAATGGTCAGCGAAAATGGAGAATGGAGAATGTGAATGTGAATGCAGCAGGCGAACATTGAGCCAGACACGCACTGCTCTCCATTAAACGGTGTTTCCACACAGTTCACTTCTTTGCCTGCCTCCCTGCCTGCCTGACACTGACCAGTCGGACCCAATGCCCAGTGCTAATCAAATCAATGGATATTAATAATATTCGCTCTCACTTATGGTAATACATGTACTGCACTACTAGACTCACAGAACGGGCAGACTCGAGCCCAGCACACTGGAAGCCTCCATTTTGTTCTCTCTCTCTAGACAACTCACGCAAAAGAAATATCAACGCTATGATCATCANCACTCACAGAACGGGCAGACTCGAGCCCAGCACACTGGAAGCCTCCATTTTTTTATTCTCTCTCTCTAGACAACTCACGCAAAAGAAATATCAACGCTATGATCATCATTTCTCTCACTTTCATGTCCGATTGTGGTGCCATTTTGCGGTGGCCTGTTTTCCTGTTTTCCAAACACNGTTCTCTCTCTAGACAACTCACGCAAAAGAAATATCAACGCCGATTGTGGTGCCATTTTGCGGTGGCCTGTTTTCCTGTTTTCCAAACACCTCATTACATCAGATCTGCTTCAGCAGCAGCAGCAACAACACACTGAGCAGGTCGTTTGGTCACAGACGGTCTAGTTAACTGTTGACACAATTTTAAACTTACTTTTTGTTGTTTTTTATCTACTCAATGTGCTTGAAACTATTGTGGCGGCAAATAGTGATGGTGGTCTTTAAATTACCATTGCATAATTAATGCTCTTCTTTTCTGGTTACTTGGCAGCAGCAACACCACTTGACGCTCTGTTATTCATGGTAACGAGCAATTGAGGCTGCTGCTGCATGAGCATCATCATAGCCGATTCATTAAATATTAAGGGGCAGTTGGTTAGTTGAGAAAAGATAGTAGCGCTTCAAAACGAGAGACTAGAGCAACAAAGGGGCAATCGGCTTTGCTGAGAAAATAAAGTATGAGACAAAGTTGTCATCTTACAAGTTTCTGCTGATGCTGCAGCTCTTTCTTCATCGTTGTCGTCGTTTGCTGAAGACGGTGTCTACACATTTGTGAATTGCTGCTGTTGCTGTTGCAGTTTCCGCTGCCACCATCGTACACATTGATTGTGAATTATTGATGTCTCGATGCGGACATATATTCTCATTATGACGGACATTCATTCAGTAGACTAGTGTAGTTCTCAACTAGAGAGAAAGAGGGAAGGGGCATTCCCAGCAGACCAGAGCCGACACTCTTTCGCCGTTTGTCTGCTGTGTCTCACCCTGCACACCCTGAACTGCAAAGCAGCAGCACTTACACCGACACATCACACATTGCATTTAATTAGCGCCATGAAACATTAATGCTGATTTGCTGCTCCATTCAATTTATTTATTCAACATTATCTTCTTCTTTTTCTTCCTTTTTCTTAGGTGGTATCGAGAGAGCGACTCGGGCGTCTTTGTCGCCGCCAACCTCTACACCAACGTGGAGATGAGCAAAGAAAGTCCCAGCACCTCGCTGATTCTCCGGCCCGCCTCTTCGGAGCTGCACGATGGCCAGTGGGTCTGTGTGGTGAACAACACCATCGCCGAGGAGAAGGTGGTGATCAGGGTGGCGGTCGTGTCGCCGCTCGAGGTGGCATTGGAGCCAAAGCAGGCGACAGTGGACGCCGGTCGGTCGAGCACCTTCAACTGCAGCAGTCGGGGTGGGCCGCCGGTCAGTCGGGCGCCGCTGTGGTTCCACAATGCCAAACCGATGGGCGACATTCTCCGAGAGCACCTTCACGATCAACGGATTAGACTAATTGAGCCGCACATACTGCACATTGCCGCCGTTCATCGAGAGGATATTGGTAAGATTTGGCGAGGTGCTATCTTTGCAAACAAATTTTATGCTGTAATTTCCTCGTTTTGGACATTTTTCTTTCCAGGCGTCTACCAGTGTGTCGTACAGTCGGAACATGAAGAAGCGCAAGCGTCAGCAGAGCTAAAGTTAGGCGATGTAGCACCGATGCTGCTCGAGACCTTTCTCGACCGACAGGTGGTGGAGAGTGGCGTCGGCAATTCGGCCATCTCTCTGCGTTGTGCAGCCATTGGCACACCGTTGCCGCAAATTCGCTGGTACCTGGACGACCAGCCCGTGCCCAATTTGTCGCGCTACCGACTGGGCGACCACGTGACCAATGAGGGCAAGGTGGTCAGCTACGTGAACATCTCCAACATTAGAGTCGTTGATGGAGGAGAGGTAAGGAAGAGTGAGAGGGAGTTTTTAGGAATACTTAAGTTCATCATCTTCCTTCCTCTTTCAGTACTCCTGCGTGGCAACAAACGAGGTCGGCAAGGTGCACTACCGGGGAGTCGTTCTGGTGACTGGCGGACCCAATCTGCGGACGACCTTCTGGGGACACCACAACCTGAGCGTGGTGGCGGGCGTGAGCACCGTCGTGCGCTGTCCGGTGATCGCCTATCCGATTCAGGCGATCAGCTGGCAGCACAATGGCAACCAGCTGCCCACCAACCACCGCCAGACAATTGACCCAATTGTCGACGGGTACGGCGGAGTGCTGCGCATCAGAGACGTCCACCCGGCGCAGGATGGCGGCGACTATGTCTGCTCGGTGAAGGTGCTCCCGCAGAACGGGGCCGAGGCGGTTCGGCCCGTGCGAGGCAGCGTTCAGCTGAGTGTGCACTACGCGCCAAAGATTGACCGCCACACACTGCCGACGACGCTCAGCGCCAAGCAGGGTGACCGCATCAAGTTGATGTGCTCGGTGATTGAGGGCGACCAGCCGGTGGAGATCGCCTGGATGAGGGCGGGAAGGGTGGTCAAGTCGTCGGATATGATCACGGTGCAAAACGGAGAGGACTACTCGCTGCTCACCTTCAAGAGTGTTCTCATCTCAGATTCAGATTTATGGTAGGCTTATTCGCTGCTTGTACTGTAGAACATCTCATCTTATATTTTTCACACTATGCCTTCCAGGACTTGCCAAGCTCGCAACGCCTACGCCAGCGACAACAGCACCATTGACATTGAGGTGAACGTGCCGCCGAAGTGGACGATAGAGCCAAAGAATGCTCAGGTGATACTAGGCAGAAGTATCACCATCAACTGCCAAGCAGAGGGCTTCCCCAAGCCAAAGGTAATTGTGATAGTTGTGAATATTGCAAAAAGTAAAATATTTGATTTGAGCAGATCACCTGGAGAAAGTCCATCAGCGGTCAGCAGTCTTCCTCTTCCTCACTGTTGTCAGCAGCGGCAGCAGCTGCGGTGAGCACATTCACAAATGAAGTTGTCCTCCAGGAGACAGGCGGCGGCAGTGGCAGTGATAAGCAACTGTCTGGCAGCTCACAGTCACATGACTTTCGGGACATTCTCTCCAGCTACCGCTACCAGGTCTTCTCCAACGGGTCGCTGTACCTGCAGGAGGCAGAGGTGTCCGATGGAGGGCTCTTTATGTGTCACGTAAGTCAATAAAACATTTTTTTGTTGCTGTTTAATCAACCTCATGATCTGTCTTTTTGCAGGTGGGCAACACCATCGGCACCGACCTGAGCAAGGTCATTCAGGTGGTGGTTCAGCAGCCACCGCGAGTAGAGAGCAAGTTTGCCAGCGAGACGGTGGTAAAGGGGGCGACGGCGACGCTGCAGTGTCGGGCCACGGGTGACCCGGTGCTGAGGGCAGAGTGGTACCGGGACATGCAGCCACTGGAGCTGGCTGGTAGCGGTGGTGGAGGAAACAGTGGTGGCAACAACCAGCAGCGGTACAGTGTAAAGGAGGACACTGCTCGTGGCAGCATCACCTCGTACCTGGAGATTGCCGATGCACGTCGACAGGACTCGGCGCTCTTCACCTGTCGTGTCTCAAATCCCTTTGGCTCCGGAGAGAGCACCAATATTCAGTTGATTGTTCAAGGTAAGTCTGCTGATGGAGGATAGTGATGGCAAAAGGTGAGAAATGAGAAACTGCAGGAGGACTGGAAAAAGCCTAGTTTGGTGTGTGCTCTTAGGCACTACCACTGTCACCACTGTCACCACTGTCACCACTGTCACCACTGTCACCACTGTCACCACTGTCACCACTGTCACCACTGTCACCACTGTCACCACTGTCACCACTGTCACCACTGTCACCACTGTCACCACTGTCACCACTGTCACCACTGTCACCACTGTCACCACTGTCACCACTGTCACCACTGTCACCACTGTCACCACTGTCACCACTGTCACCACTGTCACCACTGTCACCACTGTCACCACTGTCACCACTGTCACCACTGTCACCACTGTCACCACTGTCACCACTGTCACCACTGTCACCACTGTCACCACTGTCACCACTGTCACCACTGTCACCACTGTCACCACTGTCACCACTGTCACCACTGTCACCACTGTCACCACTGTCACCACTGTCACCACTGTCACCACTGTCACCACTGTCACCACTGTCACCACTGTCACCACTGTCACCACTGTCACCACTGTCACCACTGTCACCACTGTCACCACTGTCACCACTGTCACCACTGTCACCACTGTCACCACTGTCACCACTGTCACCACTGTCACCACTGTCACCACTGTCACCACTGTCACCACTGTCACCACTGTCCCCACTGCAGATGGGCGCCATTGTAATTACCGAGTGGTGGCAATGCTGGTGGTGGTGGTGAATCAAGTGGGATTTACATAGGCAGACAACTGAGCACAGACATAGACTCACAATTTAGTTGACTCTGCTGCTGCTGTCATTAGTGGCTCAGCTGCCTGTCTGCAAATGTGTGTGTGCTGAAAGTGAATATAAGACGACAACAGACGGTTTGGGATCTGCAATAAGAGCGGCAAAGACGAGCGCAATCATTGCAATCATTTCGAATACAATGCCCCAGCAATTGCAATTGGACACAAAGCTGCAGCAGAAGTTTTTTTCCCAGTCTGGTGCTGTGCGACTAATTCATATTTCATATTGAGGAACCAGAGTGACCAGTGGTGGGCAGCGGGGAATTAGAAAGAAAGCAGACTGCCAGTGCTGCTAATCCTCATCAAAAGGCAGCAGCATAATGAAGGCGCCGAAGTATATAAGAACGGCAAGTGAAAGAATAAGGAGCCAGAAAGAGAGAAAGAGAAAGTTCACTTTTTTAATTATTGAGCTTTCCACTGCTTTCCACTACTGCCTTCTTGGACTAATGCCTGCTGGCAGAATCAATTGATTTGCAGGAGGGAAGGGGAGCAGACCCAGATATTAAGCCGACTCAGCGGCAGAAGCGGCAGCAGCAGTAGTGATCAGCAGCCCATTACCATTCAGGACAGCATACGCGATGGCTCAGTCAGTGTCTGTCGATCTGATCACAGTATTGGCATTACTAGGCCTACAACTATCACGACTACCACAATAATGCTGTCAGTGCTTTCTTTCCCTGCCATCGGTGCACGTTTTGCTGCCCGCTTTCCACCATTCTCACTCTCTCCCGTTTTCTAAATCTCTCTCTCTCTCTCTCTCTCTCTCTCTCTCTCTCTCTCTGTTTGACTCTCACTGTTATTGGATCTGGAAAAAGTGTCTGANAGTCTAGCCGTCAGTCAATTTGATTCCTCTATCTCAACCTTCCCTTCTCGCATTGCCAATGATTGATTCTAACACCAGCGTTATTTTTATTTTTCCCATTTTTTCATTCTCTTCTTTTTTCATTTGTTCAAACGCAGAAATCCCTGAGCCACCTCGTGACGTGAGCCTGGCGGAAATCAGCAGTCGGTCGGTAAAGGTGCGCTGGAAACCGTCTTTTGCGGGCAACAACGCCATCGTCGGTTTCATCCTCGAGTATAGGGCAAAGTGCTTCGATTTTGGCGGCGGTGACAACGGTGTGAGCAGAGAGAACAAACACAAGCGAAGTGACGCCAGTAGTCTACTACTATTAAGTGATGAGCTTCAGCAGCTGCCGCAGATCACCTGGAAGGATCTGTATATCAATGATGCTAATGCTCAGTCATTTCTCCTCCGAGATCTGTACCCCTTTTGCGCCTACGAGCTACAGTTGAAGGCGAAGAATGGCATCGGCATCAGTGAGCCCAGTCAGGTGGCCTCCTTTCGGACGGCCGAGGAGATGCCCGGGGGGCCGCCGCTGGAGGTGTCAGTGGAGCCACTGTCTGCGAGTTCGCTGAAGATCAGGTGGCGCCCACCGGATCGGCATCTGCAGTTTGGCCAGATCAAGGGCTACTACATTGGCTACCGACTGGTGGACGGCCAGAGTGGTCTTTTGGGCCAGAGGGCCAGCAGCTTTGGCAGCACCGGTGAACAGGGGACGGCAGAGCAGCTGGAGTACAAGAAGGTGGAGGCGAGCAGTGTGGGCAACAGTGACCAGTCGGCAATGGAGATTGCCTACCTCACCAATCTGAAGCGACACACCGTCTACTCGGTGGTCATCAGTGCCTTCAACAAGGCTGGCGCAGGGCCGAGGAGTGATGAGGTACGTAGAGGAATTGCTGTAAATTATGTCAAACTAACCATTTATCTTCAGATCACCGTTCGCACCCTGAGCGTCCAGAAGACCAGCACCCTGGTTCTGGAGGTGGTGACCACCGACGCCAGCTCCATCACCCTCCACTGGGACGTGGACGAGGAGGAGGCAGAGGTGGTGGAGGGCGTCAAAGCAAACACTGGATTTGTGCTGCACATCAGCGAAGAGGGCACTGGAGAGTGGACGCAGCGGACGCTGGCGCCACATCTTCGGCGACACGTTGAGACGGGCCTCAAATGTGGCACAAAATATCTGCTGTACATGACCCACCAGGACAGCAGCAGTACAACGGGTACGTTTTGGAAAAAAATTTATAAAGAACTGCTCCCTAACAGCCCGATACGATTACAGGCGAAATGATCACCGCTCGAACAAAGGGCACTGTAGCCATCTCCCCCTCGGCGGAGGAGTTCCTCTCGACCAATAGCACCGCTGTGGCGCTCAACTTCAACTCCTGGCACAATGGGGGCTGTCCAATACGGAACTATTCGCTCAAGTACCGACCACTGCACACCAAACTGTGGAAGGTCGTGGGCACGATCAAGTACAATGAGGTGGGAGGAAATGGTGGTGGTGGTCACGGTGAGTCAGTGAGCACCTCCTCCTTCTCGAAGCCCTTCATCATCGGTAATTTGGAGCCGAACCGAGAGTACAGTCTGGCGGTGACGGCCTCGAGCAGCGCCGGCCTCACCGAGGCCGTCTACAACTTCAGCACCTGGGCGAATGGCAGCTTCTTCAGCTCGGCGAGCATGGGCAGCGGCGTGGTGCGCCTGGCCGGTCCGCCCGGTCTGGTGCACACGGTGGACATCTCCTCCTCGGAGTACTCCTCCATCGGCGTCAGTTCGCCCTTCCACAATGTGACCATCCTCCTGCCGGTGGTCATCTCGGTGCTGGTGCTCGCCGCCGTCCTCACCACGCTCTTCGCCTTCATGCGCAAGCAGCAGCACGGCGTGATGATGGTGCACGCTGATGGACGGCGGTGCAGTGCTCGCAGCACAAACTCACAGTCCACGGCGGGAGCTGGGACATTGGGAGGCGGAGGAGGAGGAGGAGGGCTGCGCTCTGCGTCTCTGTCAATGCGCTCCAAAGAGGACATCACCTCAGAGATGCTCTCCGCCGCCTTTCCAATGACTGACTACCACTCGCTGTGTACTGGAGGTGGCGGTGGCAAGGGCAGCAACAACAAACTGGTGGAGGCCATCGGTCTGAATGGTATGGGTGGTAGAGGGGGTGATGGTCACCACCTCCACAACGCCCACCAATTGGCCGCCAACGCTTCTGAGGCACTGTACGGTAAGACGATGCTGTCCTCCTGTCAGACAATGGGAGGCTACGCCTCGCCCAAGCGGACACTGCTCTGCGGAGAGAACAATGGCAACGGTGCTCAAGGGGGTGGTGGTGGTGATCAGCAGATGGTGATGGGACGGCCATCGACGAGGGTCACCGTCAACAGTCACCACATCTACGCCGAGCCGAACCCCAATGGGCTGATGATGCAGACGTACGCCACGCCGAGGTGTCTCCTCACCACAGTTGCTCCTGGTGGGGGTGGAGGTGGTGGTGGCGGTGGTGATAACTCCTGCCAACTGCTGGACACTTCCGACAGTTTCTCCAATGGAGGACTGCTGTCGATGGCACTGCAACAGCCACCCGGACAGCTGATGTCGAGCAATGAGACCACTACCACGACCTTTCGTGCCTTAATTACCAATACACCCAATACAAACAACAACAACAACAACAATGCACACATCTGACTAAATGGCCCCACACAACTCGATGGAGATGAACCTGCTTCCCAACATTCTTATTATTACCAAGACTAATCTTCAGTGCCAATCATCATCATTATCATAAACCACTTTTATCATCTCCAGGCCATTCCGTCCACACAAACACACACACACACTTACGCATCCTTCATCATCCTGCATCCTTCCCTTCCTTTCCCTCTTCTCCCCTCCCTTTGATAATGACTTTACCTGTTTCTATTGTGTACCAATTATTTCTGTTTGAATGCGACGGCAAAAGGCGCTTTTGTGCCGATCTGTTTACTGACTGAATGCTATGTAAAATAAAGAAAAATGATTATTGAAATGAAAGTCTCGTTTCTTGTGTTGTTTGATCATTTACAGAAAAGGTTATGTACAAAAGGGTAAACTAAAACATACAGTAGTTTTAGGACATGCGTTCGTCGCCACGCACCGCTCGGTACTTGGACATCTCATTGGGAAACTCTTGTGACAGTTCAAAGAGCAGCAGTGCTTTGAAGCGNATAAACTAAGACATACAATAGTTTTAGGACATGCGTTCGTCGCCACGCACCGCTCGGTACTTGGACATTTCATTGGGAAACTCTTGTGACAGTTCAAAGAGCAGCAGTGCTTTGAAGCGGCGGTACTCGTCAATTTTTCCCTTCACCAGCTCGTTTTTAGCAAGAGATCGTTCCATGCAGTCCTTTGTGTAGGATTGCGGGTTGTGGCCATCGTCGATGTAGCTGTATACAAAAGATTAGGTTAGCATTTTGGCAACAGAAACCGGCCGCAACACAAACTTACTCAAATACTTCCAATGGAACCTGGAGATCGTTTACTTGGCCTTTAAGGCGGTCAATTTCTNGGCGGTACTCGTCAATTTTTCCCTTCACCAGCTCGTTTTTAGCAAGAGATCGTTCCATGCAGTCCTTTGTGTAGGATTGCGGGTTGTGGCCATCGTCGATGTAGCTGTATACAAAAGATTAGGTTAGCATTTTGGCAACAGAAACCGGCCGCAACACAAACTTACTCAAATACTTCCAATGGAACCTGGAGATCGTTTACTTGGCCTTTAAGGCGGTCAATTTCTTTCAGCCCATACACAATTTGATTGCTAAACATGAAAACCCAGTGTTAGATAAAAGTTAAAGACAATTTTGAAGTGACTTACAGTTTGTTGTTGATTGCAGTCTG